GCAAGCTGGGAATCAGATAATTCTCAGATTGTGCCTGGTCCTTGCTACTCCCCTGTCCCCTGCACTGGCTCCTGATTTTAAGCTGGCTCCTGCTCCCACCACTTGCTGTCTTTGATAATGGCAGCTGGGGGGAGGGAAAAGCAACTAATCACTTACATCCCTAGACCAGAGCCAGCAGATATCTGACTTGCCTTGACCTCAACAGTTAAAGGGTAGTCCAGTGGCTTGACATAAGTCAGTCTGGTGCTTTGGTATCTGAAGTACTGATGAAACGTATGGACTGCCATTGCTCCATCATTGGTCTCCGAGTACCTGGCATGCTAGTACTGTCTGTATTGGCACCTAACATGCACGTGGTACAGTTAGAGAGTAATCTAAGCTTAGTAGTGGCATCAATGAGGATGCTGATATCTAAGTTACCAGTTAATGAGTCATCAACACAGCAAATGAAGGATGTATCTCCAATACTAACATCAGCCCTTTCCCAATTTGGGAAAATAGAGCAGAGTCAAGGCACTCCTGAAAGAATGCTCCAACTCTTCCTCTCTTCTACCTCTCCTCCTCCCCCCCATGAAGAAATATGCTCCTTCTCTTCATCCTCATTGAAACTCAATAGTGAGTCATCTCCTATACAGCTGGTCCCCAAGTTGCGAACGGTCGAGTTACGACCGTTCGCATTTATGACCAAATCTCCCATGGAGCAGTCGTAAAGGCGGTCCCCGAGTTACGAACGTGACCTGTGTGGTCGCTATGTAACTCAATGGGGTCTGAGTTACAAATGGATCGAGTTACGGCCAAGTGTTTGGTCCGTAACTTGTTCGTAACTCAGGGAGAGGCTGTATAGTCACCCTTTCTCATTTGGATAGCACAATAGCTGCAGGAATCAATCCAGGACTTGCAGGGAATATCCATCTTGGTGCTCACATTGCAGTACTCACACCCTTATCAGTCTTCGGCCTGCTAGATCTTGTGTGTGCGCGCAGCCATATTCTCATAAGCTTGTAATTTCTGCACTTTCTGAGTTTAGACTGCCCTTCCCAAAGAAGCCATAAAGACCGTCCTAGGAAGGCCAGCGAGTGCAGCCTCAACTCCAGAGACATTTGGAAGAAAATGATATGGAACAGTATCTAAAAGGGAAGGAACAACTTGTCCCTGCTTTACTTGCCTCATCCTTCCCCAAGGAGGCAGGAAGTTGCTCAATGCCTTCCTCACTGAATAACTTCATCAAACATATGGCAAAGACTCTGGAAATATTTCTGATAGTGGTACAAAAGAAATATGGCAAGCTCTTGAGTAGGGATGTTAAATAATGGTTAATTAGCTAATCAAGTAGTTGATTAAATTTTTATTGACTACTCAATTAGTTGATAAGGAAGGTGCTTACTACTCCAGCTGCAGCTTTGCATTTTAAATGTGGTAGGAACCGGGCGTGCAGACAGCCCAGCTCATACTACATTTAAGATGCAGAGCCGCAGCGGGGTTAGCTCCTGGGGGCGACGCGAACTGGGAGCTTGCGCTTGCTTTGGGACTTGTATGGCTCTGCTTCCCCTATCCCTTCCCCACTCTGCACTGCAGACAAAAGGTACCAAGTGTTTTCAGATGTATATTTTGGCTGGACTGTCCCTTAATCATTGTTTAAGTAGGACTCATCTGCCTACCTCCCAGCAAATGATCAACTATTTATTAGTCATCAAGCGTGAAATCCACGTGAACAATCACTTGAAAGGTTATTGTACCTTCAAGACATGTTCTGCGAAGTGTGTTGTCCACCTGGATTCAATGGCTACTTTCCTTTCTGACTATTACAGAATCCCTGCTCCTCCAGATTTTTGTACTGGTGAAGGAATCCATACGATGGCTGAGCTGTCTTTTATGCCCTTGAATAGATTGACATCTGCTTGAGGGCATAGGAGTGGTGTCAGTTGAAGCTGACCAAAAGAATGTAATCTAGTGTATTGTGTGCACATGCATCAATAGTAGAGTTTTGTATGGGCAAAACAATCTTTAAAATATACAGTTTCTCTAAGTCAAATACAATTTTCTGGTTTCTATTAAAAATGGTTAACAAATATATTGCAGCTAGATAGGTTATTTGAATTATTGTTAGACCCCAAGATTGATGGATGGACTGAATGAGAAAATAGAAAGTAAAAGACAATTCAGGTTTATTTTAATAAATAGGTCACTATTTGCAGGTGTGACCATAATGCCTTTGTGACCATAGTCCCTTTTTAAAAAGTCTTAAATTCCATCAGTGGTCCGGCTGAGTGCATATGACTTCAATAAGAGAGGTCTTTAATGTATGGATAAAGGAATACTGCTTTTTGAAACACGCTATATTACCTGCATTACCGCATCTTGGATATTGCAAGTAGAATTGTTGATTAAAAGAATTCTTTAATGAAACTGAAGGCAATTCATGTTGTTCTCACTAAAATCTCCAGTTATTGCATTCTGCTTTTATCTTTGTCATTCCAGAAGTAACTTTCTTTTATTTCAGATAATAAAGTATTCCAGTTACACAGTGCTGATAATCTGCCTTCATTAATTCATTGCCTTTGGCATCCTGTTTATCCACAAAAGGATTCAAACGAGAGAGAAAGAAAGAGAGACTATATGATGTCAGTGCTTTTGCCTCTAGTAGTCTGTGGTCTGCTGAAGGTGCAAAAAATATCTGAATAACAAAATATTTAACTATGCATTTCTAAATATTGATGTAAAGCAGAGCTTGAAAAATTGACCAGATCACTATTATCTGAAGTGTAATGCTACTAGAAAGTTGTAGCAAAGGATACACGTCAGTGAGAATCAGGGCGAAGTGTTCTCACAACTGGAGTGGAAATCTGTCTTCATGAAAATAGCAATAAAGAACTGGAATGACATAAAAACACAAAACAAAAATTAAAAAAAAATCACACAATAAAATGCTTCTTACAGTACAAATCACAGATGCAAAGCCTGAGCTGAAATAAGGATGAAGGACTATATTTCAGTCTCTGAGTACTACCTTTTTCTTTTTCTTTTTCTTTTCTAGTATTTAAATGATAGGTCTAGATTTCTATCCAAAATTATTTGCACAGGATATTTTCATTGTTCATTATGTCAGGTATGTAAAGTGTGGCAGTAAAATCATGGAGTATATTTCAGAATTTTGTCAATTGAAGATTTAAAGTTTGTGTGCATGAGCGCATCACCAGTTATACGTGCGTGTTCTGCATATTTGCATTAGTTTGGTTGAAAATGTGAATAGGCGCTGAAAAAACAAAATTGGCTAAAAGTGTTAGCATTCAAGGTCATGTAAAATTCATATTCTGTTAAACATTGGTCTTAGAATACCATCTATGAGTGCCCGTGTATAAGGAATTAATATGGCTTATTAAATAAATTGTATATAATATAGCTTGAAATTTTCATTTTATAACTTTGGGATTTTTTGGGAGTCTGTTCTTTTCAGGAATTGTTTTTCCCAGCGCAAGTACAAATCTCACCCTCTATTCAAGTTTTGTTTATACCAGGGGATATTGCCTATAGAGGAGTAGGGATTTTAGATACCATGTAATTGAATAATCGCGTAACTTTTTCACCAAATATTATTGGTTACACAATTATTCGATAGTCCCCAGATGCAGGATTGGCAGCCAGTGCATTGCTGGCCCTGCTCCCAGGGACCCCCCTGCCACCCTGCGCTGCTGCCTCTGTATCAGAGGCAGCAGTGCGGAGTAGTAGGTGGGAGCAGACCAGCTCCTTCCTGCCACCCCAGTCTGCTGCCTGATAGAGAGGCAGCTGCGTGGGGTGGCAGCAGCCCCTGTGTTCCCTGAGCAGTAGCTTGAGCTCCCCAGCTGTTGCTTGGCATCCCATGGAGCAGCCTCTGTCTGAGAGGCTGCTCTGATGGAGGTAGCAGCGCCAGGGGAGGCAGCTCCTGCCCATTCTTCCCTGTCTTTGTGGGAGGCAGTAAGGAGGGACAATAGGTGGCTCAATGGAGCCAGCACACATGGAGACCTGGCTTAAAAGCCAGCTCCCTCTGCATATCAGCTCCCACCTGCCACGCCTTCTTCTGTGCTGATGCCTGTGAGAGCCAGCAGCCCGGGGTGGTGGGCAAACAGCTCTGAGTGACCTGATAGGTGTGGACAGCGGCTTCCTGCGTGTGGTGGTTCCTGTTTGCCCCCCTCACCCTCTGCACTGCTCCCTATCAGGGATAGAGGCAATAAGGGGGAGGAGAGTGCATGTAGTTGATAAGATTAACCAATAAGCCCAGGCTTATCGATTAATCGTGTAGTCAACTACATGTTGACCTCACTGTAGAGGAGTGCATTAAACTTAGTCAAGGGCCTGGCCATCAATTTATGATTCTGTACTCCCCACAGAACATAGCAGAACTCTTCTGATGTCCCTAGGAGGTTAGTAGCATTATCAAGACAACAATACTGTATTGCCATTATGTTATAACTACATTTTTTTCTCTTTTGTTCATCACGTTCACTGCTCAGTGACAGATCTGCTCCCCTTTGGGCCACTTATTTCTGCCCCTTGTTTCTTTTCCTTCCCATCTTTCCTCCATCTCTCCTTGTGACTCTCAGATGCCTCTGCATTTTCTTCTGTTCAGACCCAGTATGCTTCACTTCCACCTATTTTCTCATTGCAGCTGCTAAAATGATCAATGGTAAAATACTTAATTGTTGACAGTAAAATGTCATTATGCTTTAGACATTACACAGTTATTCATAGGGAGAGAGGAGTTTGAGTTAATTTCAGGCTATCTTCAGACTCAGGCAATCTTCAGTGAATCAGGTGGCATAAATGTGAACCATGTTTTTACCTCTGAATCCCAGAAGGCTAGAAGGGTACCTACACTTTTTTAAAGGAATATCAACTTCTATACAGTTTAGATGTGTCTTGTTGGCCTTATAGATATACCACACAGTTTGATACCACTGGTTTATACTACTTGCTGATTGTTTACTTCCATTTACTGTGTAAAATACTTCTCCTTTTTTCCCTAGCAGTTTGGCAAAGGGTGATCCCGCAGCATTTTTACCCATCATCAGTTATTCCTTCACGTCCTTCTCAACTTACATAGCAGAACTTTTGGTGGAATCTGATGTAGAGCTTACTGCTAAAAGTGATTTGCGTTTTACTGAAGCTATCTATAAGGTACTAGTAACTGGAGAAATTATAATTTGCTACTTAAAATTGTTTTATCGCAATCCTCATAATTAATATCAAGTAGCGGGAATAAGGCCAAATCTGTGACCAGAGGAAAGCATGGGCTAGAGCAGAACTACTCAATACGCGGGCTGCATGTGGCCTGCATGTTTGCAGCCCGCAGTGTGGTTTGGGTTTACACGGGGCTCAACACAGGGTCCAGAGGTGGGATCCTTTGAACATGGCTTGCACTGGGAACACGCTCCACAACGGCGAGGCATCTCCCAGGTGGGGTGAACATTTAAAGACGCAAGCAGACCGAGTGGCTAGAACAGGGTGTCAACATTTCTAGGGGCATTGTGGGAAGTGCTTTGTATTCATGCCCGCCAGTGTGAAAGAAGTAATTTGCATATATATTTGCATGTATATGCAACCACACTTCAGTTGCGGCCCTCAGCATGTGCTGTATTATTGTGGAACCCGGGGCTTTCAAAGTTGAGTAGCACTGCGCTAGAGAATACATTATTTAGGAAAAACTGTACACCACTGATTACCATAACATAAGTAATATATAAGGCTTGATATTTTATATCTAAAAACACATCTCACTTTTACATGCTAATAAAATGAAAGTGAGCTGGCTAGCGCTCAGCAGAAAAGAATGAGATGATGCTGGAGGGAGAGGTGAATGTAGTATTGCTTTTCTTGATTGAAAGAATGTGCTATAAGAACATAAGAACGGCCGTACTGGGTCAGACCAAAGGTCTTTCTAGCCCAGTATCCTGTCTACCAACAGTGGCCAGCACCAGGTGCCCCAGAGAGGGTGGACCGAAGACAGTGATCAAGCGATTTGTCTCCTGCCATCTCTCTCCAGCCTCTGACAAACAGAGGCCAAGGACACCATTTTATCCCCTGGCTAATAGCCTTTTATGGACCTAACCTCCATGAAATTATCTAGCTTCTCTTTAAACTCTATTATAGTCCTAGCCTTCACAGCCAACATAGCTATGAGTTACCAATGTTTACAACAGAGCTACAGTTTACCAGATCTGCAGTGTATTATAAAATAATGTTTTTTTTATTGTAGCAGTGCACTTCCTGATAATACACTTCATATCTATGAGACTGGGGAAAAGTCAACATGGTTTATGTGAAGGGAAAACGTACCTTACTAATCTACTAGAGTTCTTGACGGGTTTGGGGGGGGGGGAAGGTTAACAAGCATGTGGACAAGGGGGATCCACTAGATATAGTGTACTGAAACCTTTTGACAAGTTTCCTCACCTAAGGCTCTTAAATAAAGTAAGTTGTAATGGGACAAGAGGGAAGGTCCTCTCATGGATTGATAACTGGTTAAAAGACAGGAAACAAAGGGTAGGAATAAATGGTCAGTTTTCAGAATGGAGAGAGGTAACTAGTGGTGTCCTTCAAGGGTCTGTACGGGGACCAGTCCTTTCAACATATTTATAATCTGGAGCAAGGAGTAAACAGTGAGGTGGCATAATTTTGATATGATACTAAATTGCTCAAGATAAGACCAAAGCGGATTGTGAAGGGCTTCAAAAGGATCTCACAGAACTAGGTGATCGGACAGCAAAATGGCAAATGAATTTTAATGTTGATAAATGCAAAGTAATGCACATGGGAAAAATAATCTCAACTATACATGCAAAATAATGGGGGCTAATTTAGCTATATCTACTCATGAGAGAGATCTCAAAGTCATTGTGGTTAGTTCTCTGAAAACATCCACTCAATGTGCAGTAGTAGTCAAAAAAGCAAATAGAATGTTAGGAATCATTAAAAAAGGGATAGAGAATAAGAGAGAATATCTTGCCTCTATATAAATCCATGGTACGCCCACATCTTGAATTCTGCATACAGATGTGGTCTCCTTAACTCAAACTTCAGAAAAGGGCAACAAAAATTATTAGGGTTTGGAACAGCTCCCTTATGAAGAGAGATTAAAAAGACTGGGACTTTTCATGTTAGAAAAGAGGAGACTAAAGGGGGGATATGATAGAGGTCTATAAAATCATGACAGGTATGGAGGAAGTGAATAAGGAAAAGGTTCCCATAACATAAGAACTAGGTGTCACCAAATGAAATTAATTGGTAGCAGATTTAAAACAAGCAAAAGGAAGTTTTTCTACACATAGCACATATTTTTTAAGGAGTGATTTGGTTGAAGAGTGCCTGGTAGATTGGTTTATGATGGGAGTTTCAGATATGGGGGCAACTTAGAATATCCAAAACCAACGTGTGAAAAGATTGACTATCCTAGCTAAGGTGGAAAAAGGGGCAATTGTTTAAAAATAAGATTAAAAACATTGTTTCTACATAAAGAGAATATACAGAGTATATTGGGTAACTAAGTTTTACTCTCTTGCAGGTACTTCGAGATCAGTTTCAGTACAAACCAGTTTTAACAAAACAGCAGTTTCTCCAGTGTGGCTTTGCAGAAAGGAAAATGCAGATTGTTTGTGACATTATCAGTGCTGTGATGAAAATGCATAAGGAATTAAGTAATATGAATAAGGTACTAAGTTGGTAATACTTCAGATACAAAATATAGTTAATCTTTCTCTCAAATACTGCAAATCGTAACATTTCAGTTTAAACATTGCTCTAACTAGAAGAACTTCAGTAAGAATAATTGAAGTTTGAATGTGGAGGGAGCATAAATCAGAGTCCATCCCCTTGAAAATGCAATATGTACATCTGCTCATATGGGTTTTTTAATTTAAAAAAATCTGAAAAGTGTGACACACTCAATATAATGTTAAAAACTTATGTCCAAGCATCTTCATCAAATTGTGTGGCTGTACATATTCTAGATATGTGAAGGACTAGTTAGCTAATGCTCCCCAATTCCCTTTTTTGCCTCTGTCAGAAAGAGGCAGCCAGAGAGGTGAAAGGGGGGAAGAAAAGGGTACTTCAAAGTGGCAGTGCTGCGTGGAGCTTGGGGCCAGACGTCAGGTTCCTCCTGGCATTTCAAAGCAGCAGCACGGCATGGATCCTGGCATCAGCTGGAGACTCCCCTGCTGACCCCAGGCTCCGCAAGGTGCTTTTGCCTTTAAAGTGTAGCAACAGCCCTACGGCTGTTCCTACACTTCAAAGGTGGAGGCGCCCTGTTGACTAATTTAATACAGGCAGTCCCCGACTTACGAACACATCGACGTATGACCAACCTCCCATTAATCCCATATTACTGTAGTGTATAATATTTTCGAGTTGAGAACCACGTACGTTTAGTTTTTCGAACAGTGCAGGCAGAGTGGTATGAGAGCTACCGCCCAGTCATGGCGGCAGCCGACATGTTGTCCTCCCCTTTGTTTTGTTTTGGTTCTCAGTAGCATGTTGTGTTTGCATGTCTGCAGTCAGGCAGCATGTTTATGTTTCATTCCCTCATATTTTCTGTGTTTGCTTGTGGCCATCCTGGCAAGTAACAGGAAAAGTGCTAGTGATAAGAGCGGTGAAAAAAGAAAGAGAAAAGCTATTGATTTAGAACAGAAAATAGCGATAGTGGGGCAATACAAAAGGGGCCAAGCAGTGTCGTTCATGGTGCGTAATTTAGGCCTATCGAAATCCACCATAAGCACTATTAAAAAGGATAGCAATCACATTCATGAAGCAGTGAAAGGGTCTGCGCCTATGAAATCAACAATTATAACAAAGAAAAGAACAGGTCCCATCCATGACATGGAAAAACTCTTAGTGCTTTGGATCGAAGACCAAATTAAAAAACGCATGACATTAAGCCTCAAGATGATACAGGCTAAGGCTCATAGTCTTCTTGAAGACTTTTTTTTTAAAAAAAGGAGGGGTATGACTACGACCAAACTTTTAGTGCCAGTTACGGTTGGTTCAACCGTTTCAGAATTGTGCAAACTTTTACATTGTGAAAGTAAGTGAGGAGGCAGCCAGTGCTGATTCGAAAGCAGCAGAAACTTTCATAAAAGAATTGGATAAACTGATAAAAGAGAGAAATTATTTGCCAAACCAGATCTTTAATGTTGATGAGATAGGTCTCTTTTGGAAGAAAATGCCCGACCGTACATACATACGTAAGGAGGCAAAAACTATGCCTGGTTTTAAGGCTTTCAAAGACCATCTAACAGTCTTGTTAGGAGAGAATGTTTTTGGGTATAAATTGAAACGCTTCTTGATTTATCACTATGAAAACCCTAGAACAGGGGTGTCCAAACTTTTTTCAAAGAGGGCCAGATTTGATGAAGTGAACATGCGTGAGGGCCGACCATTTTGCCTGACATTCTTTGAACCATTAAAATTAAATGCAAATTAACTATTTTATGCAACGTTTATTGCAAACGGCATACTTTTCATTTCGTCACATGGATGACAAATCTAAACAGGTGTTAAATCACTCTGCCTTTCATATCTGAAGGCCAGATGAAAAAAAAAATCCAGGAAGCTGAAATATATGTCAGGAACATTGTAAAGTACATTACATATTATTGGTAATAAAGGTTGTCTGTCAACTTTTAAGTTCAAAAAATATGAACAGGAACATAACACCAAGTATACATGTTGTGTCCAAATATATTTATAACTGATTTAGACCAACTGACATTAACTGAGATTTTACAATGTATTCATCTCAATACATATGGATTCGCTGGGGGCCATAAAAAATAGATATTGCCAAATTACCTGGGGGGGCCGTATTAAACCGGAACACGGGCCGCAATTGGCCCACGGGCCGGACTTTGGACATGCCTGCCCTAGAATCTTCAAGAATATCAGCAAGGCTACTTTACCAGTTCATTATCGTGCTAATAACACATGGATGACGCTTGCACTTTTTGAAGATTGGTTCATGAACTGTTTCATACCTGAAGTCAAGGCATAGTTTTGGAGAAAGGAATTCCTTTCAAAATTTTGCTTATTTTGGATAATGCTCCAGGTTACCTCAACATCTAAATGACTTGCATCCCAATGTGAAAGTGGTGTTTCTGCCTCCCAACAGCACATCTATTCTCCAACCCATGGACCAGGGGGCCATAGCTGCTTTCAGAGCATATTATCTTCGCAACACATTTGAAAAGGCAATTGCTGCCACAGAATGCAAAAATGCCAAAACATTATGTGGATTTTGGAAGGACTACAACATTCTGCATGGCATAAGGAACATTGCTGCTGGATGGGAGGAAGTCACTCAACAATGTATGAGTGTCATATGGAAGAAAATCCTAAAAAGATATGTCAACAGTTTCAAAGGCTTTGAAAAAGAAAAGGCACTAGAAGAAATTTCCAATAAAATTGTACTGATGGCGAAAGAAGTGGATCCGGAAGTGGATAAAGAAGACTTGCACTAACTGGTTGAGGCTGTTGGGGAGGAGCTGAGCAATGAAGATTTAATGGAGCTGAATAATGAAGACATACGCCAACTGGTTGAGGCTGTTGGGGAGGAGCTGAGCAATGAAGATTTAATGGAGCTGAAGGCAGAGCGGGTAACAGAGGAAGAGAGACAAAAAGCCTAAGAAGAAGAAGCCCCCAAAAATTTGTGATGAAAGAAATGGCTGCAGTCTTCAGCAAAATAAATGAAGGAATTCAAGTGTTTGAAAAAATGGACCCTAATGTTGATTCTCAAAAGTGGATCATTTAATTCAGGACGCCCTGGCTTGCTTTAACGAAATTTATAATGAGAAGAAAAAAACAAACTGTCCAGTCCAAAATGGATATTTTTTTGAAGAAAGCCCTCAGCACTGCTGCCTCTCCCACTGAACCAATGCCTTCTACAAGCAAAGGCACTGCTGAAGTAGAAGATGAATCTGCTGTTGATGATGTTGTTTCTGTAGTATTGTCACCTACCTTCTCCAGTTCCTCATCCAATTAATTCAGTTCATTCACCTTCATAATTATCAATCCAAGTGTGCACAACAATACCAAGAATAAAGGTAAAGTTCATGTACAGTATTTACATTATTTACATTTTATTTACAATAAAATATTTACAATATTTACATCACATTATTTACAGTACTGTATTGCATTGTGTTTTGTATTTCATGTTCATGTTTGTCAATTTCAGTTTGCTGTCGCTGTAGTTTATTTCCCGTGTGTTTCTGCCCTCAGTGTTTTTTTTTTTTCGTTTGTTGATTGTTGTTTTGTAGGCGATTTGTTACATTTGGAGTGCTAGTGAATTAATATTATAAACATTACTGGTAGTGGGCATCTGATACCTACCTGTATAAAGGTATTTCCGACCAAATCGAGTTAGAACCAGATGTTTGGAACGTAACCCATTCGTAAGTCGAGGACTATCTGTAGTCAATGCAAAATGCATCGACTTTGATTAGTCAATTACCCACAATTTAAGATCCCTAATATATTCTTACTACTTGTATGTGAGTTTTACTTGGATTTCACAATGCACATTTTGGGTCTTAATACATGCTAAGATCTAAATCAATGATTTAGAATAGAGCAGCTAACATATCAGCTGATACTATGTGTATGTGGAAGTTCCTTCTAGAAAAGAAATATGAATTTGTAGGGGTGGCCAAACTGCAGTTTGTGAGCTACATGCAGCTCCTTTACTGGTAATGTGCATCTTCTGGAGCCCTCTATGTCCTTCCATTCACTGCCTACCAGACTTAGGGGGCTGCTGAGCTCTTCTGCCCAATGGGAGCAAGGCGAATTTTTGAGCTTCTGTCCTGCAGGAGGCATCTTCTGGGGCTCCGGGCTGAAGCCCTGGCAAGTGCCTCTCACAGGACAGAAATCCTAACCCCACCACTCTGACACTGAACAGGATCCCTGCAGGGTTGAAGCCCTGAGCCCTGGCAGATGTACCTTGTTCTTGGACTTATGACAATTATTGTGTGCAGCTCAAGGGGTCAGTAAGTTTGACAATATATGCAATGATTATCTACATCATGAAACACTAGCATTAAGAAGTTCTATCTTATGCATTTGTCACTTATTTATTATTATATGGTTGTATTTTAATTGTAATTTAATTTTTTTTAAAATCAGTGTTAAATGCCTTATGTTTTTTCATTTATACCCATGACCAGACTAGATCTAGCTTTGTGTGTGTAAAATGTGGTTTGTGAATGTATAGTCATGAGATTCATTTTCAAGTCTTTACTCTATCCATTTTTAACAATTTGGGTTATTTAATTTTTTTCTATTTTTGGTCACTATTTCATAATGAAGAAATCTAAATGTGTTTTATATGTATGATGTTCAATTGAATTATATAGAGATAGCGTTAAAGCTTATTTGCCTTTATTTAATGACATTAATTAAATTTATTTATTTAATGACATTGCCTTTCTTTCTTTGTGTGTTGTTGTTTGTTTTTGTTTTATTTTGAAGGCTAAACCTCAAACAAGAAAAAAACCCAGGTCTTTTAAATCTGAGTCACAGGCAAATGGTGAAAAACTTCTTGTTGATCCTGTTTGCAAGACAATGATTTCTCAGCAGGTATGAAAATAGGAGGAAAATTGTTTGCTTTCTTATGTATACAGTTTATAGTTCTCTGACATTGGTGATATTCAGTAAATCAGTTCAGGATTGATCAGCAAGTTGTTCAGCCAGCCAGTACCTTACTTAAAATAAAACAAAAACTTTAGTTGTGAAGACTGATATGAAAATAAAAGCCAGAAGCAAACAGATGCAAAATGTAGCTCTGAGAAATGTGCTCTATTTCAGTGTGCAGTTGATGCTGAAGTCTAACAATGGTATCGCTATGGATAGTAATTCCCTGCTCTAATAAGAATATAACAGTAGGGATCTATTATCGACCACCTGACCAGGACAGTAGTAGTGACTATAAAATGCTAAGGGAGATTAGAGAGGCTATCAAAATAAAGAACTCAGTATTAGTGGAGGATTTCAACTATCCCCATACTGACTGGGTTCATGTTGCCTTAGGACGAGACGCAGAGACAAAATTTTTTGATACCTTAAACGACTGTTTCTTGGAGCAGCTGGTACAGGAACCAACTAAATCGAGAGGTAATTCTCGATTTAGTCATGAGTGGCGCGCAGGATCTGGTCCAAGAGGTCACTATAACAGGACCACTTGGAAATAGTGACCATAATATAATAACATTTAACATTCCTGTGGTGGGAAGAACACCTCAGCAGCCCAACACTATGGCATTTAATTTCAAAAAGGGGAACTATGAAAAAATGAGAAGGTTAGTTAAATAGAAATAAAAGGTACAGTGGCTAAAGTAAAATCCCTGCAAGCTGCATGGATACTTTACAAAGACACCATAATAGAGGCCCAACTTAAAAGTATACCCCAAATTAAAAAAAATAGTAGAACTAAAAAAGAGCCACTGTGGCTTGGCTTAACCATGTAAAAGAAGCAGTGAGAAATAAAAAGACATCTTTTAAAAAGTGGAAGTCAAATCCTAGTGAGAGAAATAGAAAGGAGCATAAACACAGCCAAATTAAGTGTAAAAATGTAATAAAAAAAGCCAAAAAGGAGTTTGAAGAACATCTAGCCAGAAACTCAAAAAGTAATACAAAATGTTTTTTAAGTATATCAGAAGCAGGAAGCCTGCTAACAACCAGTGGGGCCCCTGGACGATCGACATACAAAAGGAGCACATAAAATACGATAAAGTCATTGCAGAGAAATTAAATTCTTTGCTTCAGTCTTCACGGCTGAGGATGTTAGGGAGATTTCCAAGCCTGACCCATCCTTTGTAGGTGACAAATCAGAGGACTTGTCACAGGTTGAAGTATCATTAGCAGAGGTTTTGGAATTAATTGATAAACTTAACAGTAACAAGTCACTGGGACCAGAAGGCATTCACCCAAGAGTTCTGAAAGAACTCAGATGTGAAATTGCGGAACTGTTGACTATGGTTTGTAACCTATCCTTGAAATCAGCTTCTGTGCCCAAGGACTGGAAGACAGCTAACATAAAGCCAATATTTAAAAAGGGCTCTAGAGGTGATCCTAGTAATTACAGACCGGTAAGTCTAACGTCAGTACCGGGCAAATTAGTTGAAACAATACTAAAGAATAAAATTGTCAGACACAGAAGAACATAATTTGTTGGGCAAAAGTCAACATGGTTTCTGTAAAGGGAAATCATGTTTTACTAATCTATTAGAATTCTTTGAAGGGGTCAGCAAACATGTGGACAAGGGGGATCCAGTAGATATAGTGTTCTAGATTTCCAGAAAGTCTTTGACAAGGTCCCTCACCAAAGGCTCTTATGTAAATTAAGTAGTCATGGGATAAGAGGGAAGATCCTTTCATGGACTGAGAACTGGTTAAAAGACAGGAAACAAAGGGTAGGAATAAATGGTACATTTTCAAAATAGAGAGTGGTAACTAGTGGTGTTCCCCAAGGGTCAGTCCTAGGACCAATCCTGTTCAACTTATTCATAATTGATCTGGAGAAAGGGGTAAACAGTGAGGTGGCAAAATTTGCAGACGACACTAAACCGCTAAAGGTAGTTAAGACCAAAGCAGACTGTGAAGAACTTAAACTCTCACCAAACTAAGTGACTGGGCAACAAAATGGCAAATGAAATTTAATGTGGATAAATGTAAAGTAATGCACATTGGAAAAAATAACCCCAACTATACATATAATATGATGGGGGCTAATTTAGCTACAACTAATCAGGAAAGAGATCTTGGAGTCATTGTGGATCGTTCTCTGAAGATGTCCACTCAGTGTGCAGCGGCTGTCAAAAAAAGCAAACAGGATGTTAGGAATCATTAAAAAAGGGATAGAGAATAAGACAGAGAATATCTTATTGCCCTTATATAAATTCATGATATGCCCACATCTTGAATACTATGTACAGATGTGGTCTTGTCATCATGTCATTAGGGGGGAGGGATAGCTCAGTGGTTTGAGCATTGGCCTGCTAAACCCAGGATTGTGAGTTCAATCCTTGTGGAGGCCATTTAGGGATTTGGGGCAAAAATTTGTCAGGGATGGTACTTGGTCCTGCTGTGAAGGCAGGGGACTGGACTTGATGACCTTTCAAGGTCCCTTCCAGTTCTAGGAGATAGGCAATCTCCATTATATATTATATTATCTCAAAAAAGATATACTGTCATTAGAAAAGGTTCAGAGAAGGGCAACTAAAATGATTAGCGGTTTGGAACGGATCCCATATGAGGAGAGATTAAAGAGACTGGGACTTTTCAGCTTGGAAAAGAGGAGACTAAGGGGGATATAATAAAGGCATATGAAATCATGAATGGTGTGGAGAAAGTAAATAAGGAAAAGTTATTTACTTGTTCCCATAATAAAAGAACTAGGAGCCACCAAATGAAACTAATGGGCAGCAGGTTTAAAACAAATAAAAGGAAGTTCTTCTTCACACGGCGCATAGTCAATCTGTGGAACTCCTTGCCAGAGGTTGTGAAGGCTGGGACTATAACAGGGTTTAAAAGAGAACTAGATAAATTCATGGAGGTTAAGTCCATTAATGGCTATTAGCCAGTATGGGTAAGGAATGGTGTCCCTAGCCTGTTTGGCAGAGAGTGGAGATGGCAGGAGAGAGATCGCTTGATCATTACTTGTTCGATTCACTCCCTCTGGGACACCTGGCATTGGCCACTGTTGGCAGATAGGGTACTGAGCTGGATGGATCTTTGGTCTGACCCAGTGTGGCCATTCTTATGTTCTTATGGTATTTAAAGTATCATTATAATGTATTTTATTGATTAAAAAGTCTGAGTAGTGTTGGCCTGTAACTTTAAAAACAAGTAGTCCTTTGGCACCTTAGAAACTAACAAATACAATAAGTCATGAACTTTTGTGGGTAAATTCACTTCATTAGATGCATATTTTATTGGTGGTCAAATATGCAAGAAAGAAGAGACACAAACCTAATATTAAGATGTGCACAATCTGTTGATCATGGGTAGAACTTAAGCTATGAATGTAGTTTGAACTCTGACCCTACGTAATACTCCAATGATCTGTCATGAGAAATGATTTAGGTGGCCTGCCAAAATCTGTAAAATATCTCTTCATAACACATTTCTCATTTCTTAGTCCAGTATGCTTGATCTACTAACTTCTCCTGCTGTTATACTGTGAGGGAGGCAAAGAGGTTTTACTCTGCCTCTTTGCCATAGATGCAGGAAATTTGCACCCTTCAGAAATTTACAGAAATGTAATTGCTTAGCTAATCCAGACTCAATGCCAGAACATAACACTGCTAGCTGGTAAAATCTGTTCTCATCACAAAAGATTACCTGCTTCTGGGGTGATTTACCACCTGACCCTATCCTTTCTGGATGATAAAGTAGAATGGAGAACATGTGGGATTCCTATGGACAGATAAATCACATCTCCTTTGAAGAGAGGAATTTATCAGCCGCACTAAAATGTGCATTAATCAACCAGCATTGAAAAAAAACCTATTAATTGATACTTGCAACTCTGCGAACTGATGACTATTAGTTATGGCCTTTATAAAAGCATGCTGACTGAGAATCTAGTAGAGAAGTTTCCAATTCTACTGTTCAGTTGCCAGTTTCTGGATCCTTTTAATTCTGGCTTTTGGCCAGTACACAATACAGAAAAAGAGCTTATTGATCTGGACACAAATAGGTCTTCCATCATAGATAATAGAAATGGATTCCTAGCAATTTTACTAAAATTATGACACTTTATACTATTGATGACTCAGTGTGCTTGTCTAATCTCTAAGGGTATGTCTACACTACAAAGTTAATTCGAACTAACAGACGTTAGTTCGAATTAACTTTGATAGGTGCTACACATAGAAACCGCTAGTTCGAACTTAATTCGAACTAGAGGAGCGCTTAATTTGAACTAGGTAAACCTCATTCCACGAGGACTAACGCCTAGTTCGAATTAAGTAGTTTGAATTAAGGGCTGTGTATCCACTTAATTCGAACTAGTGGGAGGCTAGCCCTCTTCAGCTTTCCCTGGTGGCCACTCTGGGCACCACCAGGGAAACTCTTCTGCCACCCTCCCGGCCCCGGAGCCCTTAAAGGGGCACGGTTTGGCTGCACCCAGCCAGCAGACCCTGCACCTGGCACGGTACGAGCCAGCCTCTCGCTGCCACCCAGCCCTCTGCCTCTTCCCGGGACCAGGCTGGTGGCTCCCAGGAGCCTGCCCCGGTCTGCAAGAGGCTGGCGCCCACCTGGTCTAACGCGGAGATCGTGGACCTCATCCACGACCTCCGCACTAGGCACAGGAAAGCAGCCTTCTAGGGCAGGATAGCTGCCAGCCTGGCCACCCAGGAGCAGGTTTGCATGAAAATCAAGGTGGTCC